GAGTGTAAAGTGTGGAGTGTAAAGTGTGGAGTGTAAAGCGTGGAGAGGAAAGCGTGGAGTGTAAAGTGTGGAGTGTGGAGTGTAGAGTGTAAAGTGTAGAGTGTGGAGTGTGGAGTGTAAAGTGTGGAGTGTAAAGTGTGAAGTGAGGAGTGTAAAGTGCAAACTGTAAAGTGTTGAGTGTAAAGTATTATAAAGTGTGGAGTGAGGAGTGAGGAGTGTAAAGTGTAGAGTCTAGAGTGTGGAGTGGAAACTGTAGAGTGTGGAGTGTGGAGTGTAAAGTGTGGAGTGTAAAGTGTAGAGTGTGGAGTGTAAAGTGGGAAGTGGGAAGTGTGGAGTGTAAAATTTAAAGTGTGGAGTGAAAAATGTAAAGTGTAGAGTATGGAGTGTGAAGTGTAGAGTGTGGAGTGTGGAGTGGAAAGTGCAGAGTGTGAAGTGTGGAGTGGAAAGTGTAGGGTGTGGAGTGTGGAGTGTAAAGTGTGGAGTGAGGAGTGTAAAATGTAAAGTGTGGAATGAGGAGTCAAAAATGTAAAGTGTGGAGTGTAGAGTTTAAAGTGTACAGCGTAAAGTGTAGAGTGCGGAGTGTGGAGAGTAAAGTGTGGAGTGTAAAGTGTGGAGTGAGGAGTGCAAAGTGCAAAGTGTAAAGTGTAGAGTGTGGAGTGAGGAGTGTAAAGTGTAAATTGTGGAGTGAGGAGTGTGGAGTGTAAAGTGTGCAGAACGCACTTGGCAACGAGCCCGACCCGAGGTCCGAGGTCGAGGTCCAAGGTCCGAGGTCCGAGGTCCGAGGTCCGAGGTTCGAGGTCCGAGGTTCGAGGTCCGAGGTTCGAGGTCCGAGGTTCGAGGTCCGAGGTTCGAGGTTCGAGGTCCGAGGTCGGTCCGAGGTCCGAGGTCCGAGGTCCGAGGTCCGAGGTCCGAGGTCCGAGGTCCGAGGTTCGAGGTTCGAGGTTCGAGGTCCGAGGTCCGAGGTCCGAGGTCCGAGGTCCGAGGTCCGAGGTTCGAGGTTCGAGGTCCGAGGTCCGAGGTCCGAGGTTCGAGGTCCGAGGTCCGAGGTCCGAGGTCCGAGGTTCGAGGTCCGAGGTCCGAGGTCCGAGGTCCGAGGTCCGAGGTCCGAGGTCCGAGGTCCGAGGTTCGAGGTTCGAGGTCCGAGGTCCGAGGTCCGAGGTCCGAGGTCCGAGGTTCGAGGTTCGAGGTCCGAGGTCCGAGGTCCGAGGTCCGAGGTTCGAGGTCCGAGGTCCGAGGTCCGAGGTCCGAGGTTTGAGGTCCGAGGTCCGAGGTCCGAGGTCCGAGGTTCGAGGTCCGAGGTTCGAGGTTCGAGGTTCGAGGTCCGAGGTTCGAGGTTCGAGGTCCGAGGTCCGAGGTTCGAGGTCCGAGGTCCGAGGCAAAGTTTCAGTGCATTTGCTATCCGTCAAAATAAAGTGCCTCTGACGCTACAAGGGTGTCATGAACTATTAACCATGATTCATTTCATCACGGGTAATAACAATGAACTATTAACCATGATTCATCTCAGCAATCATATATCTTTATTGAACCAGCAATCAGTATGCAATTCCCCGCATCATATTCTAACATTTTCACAGTTATATAACCGTACTGTCATGCATGATGATGTTGATTGATAGTACGGTTAACTGTGAAAATGTTAGAAAATGATGCAGGGAATTGCATACTGATTGCTGGTTCAATAAAGATATACGCTTGATGAGATGAATCATGGTTAATCGTTCATGGTTATTACCCATGATGAAATGAATCATGGTTAATAGTTCATGACACTTTTGCAGCGTCAGAGGCACTTTGGCAGCGCCTTAGGGTCCTGGTTATTTTGACGGATAGCAAATGCACTGAAACTTGACCTGTGGTGGTTTGCAGTAAAAGCCAACATTGTTAATGTAACCAAGATCACCAAATTCAAAAAATACGGGAGTCCGCCTTCCCCGGGTTTAGGCCCTTTAGGCGGACTCCCCCCTGGAAATCAAAAAAAAGGAAAACATGTCCAACATGGGATACGTCCAACATAAAGCCTATGGCCCCAACGCTAGCTTTGCTACACATTTGTGGACATCTCAGCAGATCCAACATAGACCAACATATAGGCCCAACATAGCAGATCCAACATAGACATAGACCCAACCAAGACCCAGGATCATGGTGGCAGATCCAACATAGACCCAACATGGAGGCGAGGTATGGACAACATCTTGGCAAGGAAGATCCAAGTGGACACAACATAGACCCATGTAAACCAACAGGCTCAACATCCATGCAAGGCAGGAAAAACACAGAAACATCTTGGAAAAAAAAGCTGGTTTGCTCAGAAAAAAAGTTGGTTTCACCACAGATTGTCCCTCAGGTTCGAGGTCCGAGGTTCGAGGTCCGAGGTCCGAGGTTCGATGTCCGAGGTTCGAGGTTCGAGGTCCGAGGTCCGAGGTCCGAGGTCCGAGGTCCGAGGTCCGAGGTCCGAGGTCCGAGGTTCGAGGTCCGAGGTCCGAGGTCCGAGACCCGAGGTCCGAGGTCCGAGACCCGAGGTCCGAGGTCCGAGGTCCGAGGTTCGAGATTCGAGGTCCGAGGTCCGAGGTTCGAGGTCCGAGATCCGAGGTCCGAGGTCCGAGGTTCGAGGTCCGAGATCCGAGGTGGCAACGCGGCGGCAACATCCATTGTCAAGTTCGATCTCAAAGTGTGGGAGTGTGGAGTGTGGTGGAGTGTGGGGTGTAGTGTGTGGAGTGTGGTGGAGTGTGGGGTGTAGAGTGTGGAGTGTGTAGGAGTGTAAAGTGTGGAGTGCAAAGTTTAAAGTGTGGAGTCCAAAGTGTAAATTGTGGAGTGTAGAGTGTAAAGTGTAGAGTGTGAAGGGGGAGTGGAAAGTGCAAAGTGTAAAGTGTAGAGTGTGGAGTGAGGAGTGTAAAGTGTAAATTGTGGAGTGAGGAGTGTGGAGTGTAAAGTGTGGAGTGTAGAGTGTGGAGTGGAAAGTGTCGAGTGTGGAGTGTGGCGTGTAGAGTTTTAATTTAAAGTGTGGAGTGAGGAGTGTGCAAAGTGTAGAGTGTGGTGGAGTGTAGAGTGAGGAGTGTGCAAAGTGTAGAGTGTGGTGGAGTGTAGAGTGTAAAGTGCCACCCTTGCCACGCAAAACGACATGGAAACCTTCGAAAAGGAGAGATTTTGCAGCTTCCCCCATAGACACGGCGACGCTACAGGAAAACCAGAGACTTGAGACGAGAGATGTGGGAGCATCAAAACGAGCCTTTCGTGCGAGACTTCCTCCAATTTTCACACTTTGTATATAGCTTCAAAATTGACGTTTTCCTGCGAGTTTTCGTACGAGCCTTTAAATTTGCTACCTCAAAATCGATGTTTCGTGGGAGGCTTCCGTCAATTTTCAGCACATCTCACAAAATGCCACGTCTGCCACGGAATCTGCACCTTGTCGCCACTTTACGCAGCCCTGCCAATGCGATTCGTAAAAAAACACGCAACACGACGCGTCTAAAGTGCTGCGCCTGCCACGCAAAATGACGATGGACACGTCCAAAGTGCTGCGCCGGCCACGAAAACTGCAACGCATCTTCTGAAAACGTCGCAAAAGTAGTGCGCCTGCCACACAAAATGACTTTCGACACGTTACAAAACACGTCTGAATGTCACGAAGTGCCACGCCTGCCACGCGAAACGCAAAAATTAGCCCTTCTGGAGAACTTACCAGAGGCACGGCCATATAGCAATCGCGCGGACGGTTGCGAGTGGTTGCGGACGGTTGGGCAACGGGAACCCTTGCTTCGGGAAAGAAAGGGAAAGGAAGGGAACGGAAGGGACAGGAAGGGAAAGGAAGGGAAAGGAATGGAAAGGACGGGAAAGGAACGGAAAGAAAGGGACAGGAAGGGAAAGAAAGGGAGGAAGGGAAAGGGAAAGGAAGGGAAAGGACGGAAAAGGAAGGGAAAGGAAGGGAAAGGACGGGAAAGGAAGGAAAGGAAGGGAAAGGAAAGGAGAGGCTGATTTGGAAATCAGCCGCCGTCGCATGACCGTGCTCAAATGAGCTTGCTTGGCTATTGCGCACTGTCACTCAATGTTTCCGCGCAGAGCTGAAATTACTTTACTTCGAGTTATCCCCACCATGACATCTACACGTTTTGTTACTGGCAAATCTTCTGGCATTCTATCTGACATATCTTCTGGCATTTTATCTAGCATAGCATATCTTCTGGCATATCTTCTGGCATATCTTCTGGCATTCTACATGGCATATCTTCTGCAATATGTTCTGGCATATCTTCTGGCATTCTATCTGACAAATCTTCTAACACTCTATCTGGCATATCTTCTGGTATTCTATCTGGCCGTTGAGGTCCAGCAGTGCACGCAGAGCTGGGAAGGTCCCAGGTTGAGGTCCAGCGGTGCACACTGAGCTGGGAAGGTCCCAGGTTGAGGTCCAGCGGTGCACACTGAGCTGGTTTGGTCCCAGGTTGAGGTCCAGCCGTGCACACTGAGCTGGTTTGGTCCCAGGTTGAGGTCCAGCGGTGCACACTGAGCTGGTTTGGTCCCAGGTTGAGGTCCAGCGGTGCACACTGAGCTGGGAAGTTGGCAAAGAGCTTGGCGAAGAGTTGGCAAGGCGGAAGTTGAGGTGGAAGTTGATGCAGACATGATCGAGGAGAAACTGGAGGAGGAGGCAGAGGAGGAGGAGAAGGCGGAGGACGAGGAGGAGGAGGAGGACGAGGACGAGGAGGACAGCTAGCCGAGGAGAACAACTCTGATAAAATCTAACAACCCTCACCTGGCAGGTGGGGAAAAATGAAATTTGCAGTGAATGCGTCCATAATGTTCATCTTCTAAAAAGAAGCTGGCAAGAGGCGAAAAAGAAATAAACCAATTATCAGTATTACTCAAATTTGTTTGCTGTCGTTTTGCTTTTGGGTTCTCAGGCCCCCCCCTTGTTTATTTTTTCATTTATATTTAATATACTTTCTGAAGTATGTAATTTACTGTAAACGGAATGTTATGGCAGAAGATGGCAGAACATGGCAGAACATGGCAGAACATGGCAGAGCACAGCCAACATCAATAGGAATTCAGCACAGCTGCAGGACACTTATTTCACGTTTGCTACCCGGGCGGAAGCTCGCCCCAACGCTTCGATTGAGTTCACACCTGATGATTTCATCAACGACTATAGAAGCGTCTTGGCTGCGACATCGACTTGTCATGATCTGAGGGCCATGAAACCTCATAAGTCATAAGGATCGACGATTTGTATCGATTTGTCAAGTCTTTTATAGGGTCTAGTCTAGCTTTACCATAGTCTGCCATCACTGTAATTTGTATTGGAATTATCAAAGATTGCCCTTCGAATGAGCAGGAGATCTTCTTGCAGAGAACCTGAATCATGGAAGTCCGAAGAACCCCTGGTTGTATTAAATGAAACAGGTGGAATGGGAGACAAGAATTGGAATAGTCATAGAGGCTGGTGCTTTGGAACAACCAAGTAATCGGACCTATAGGTCCGCTCCCTAAGTTTTGGATGAAAACACGATGATCTAAGGCAAGTTTGTCAACGCAACTGGCTCGCCAGCGACACAGTTTGCACAAATTGCTTGGAGTTGTTTTTTTCTTGCAGGGGTCGCATTACTTTTGAGACTCTGGACAGCCTCAGCTGCGTATTCCCTCCTTTCAAGTCTGCCTTTTACGTAGCAGATCTTTTTGTACCGGACCGAGTGCTTTTGATAGCACCCTTCCACAAAGGGTTTTCAAGTCGATGCATCTCCGAGCTTGCAGTTCGCTTCGGCCCTTCTGTCCCCATTAGACCAGCACAATTATGGTCCAAATTGTGCAACTGTCAGCACTGTGTATCCTCGACTCCCTGTTTTGTGCTGTGCCTTTGAATGCCACATTGCTACTGCGCTTCAGGTCTTTCAACCTGATCTCTGGAGGTGGTCCCAAGCCAAATCGGATCGACGAGTCCCTAGGAGTGAAGTACTACGAGGCGTGGGAGCGGACGAGAAGAGCTTACTTGTACTGTACTATCTTGATCTATCTTGTACTGTTACTTTTGAGGTCTTTTGAGCTGTTCTCGTTTGAGTCTATCATGGACTGTCATAGACTATCAGGGTCTGTCTCTTGATCAGCTGCAGTGAAGAGATTCCAACTTTTGTTGTCGCGGGACGAGAATTGCAAAAGTGTGAGGATGGGACATTCGACCTGGTGCATGTGTCTGCATGTGTCATGGGAATTTGATGTTGGAAGTGTCAGGTTGAATACGTGGTACGAACGCAGCTGGGCTTCTCCTTTGACTCGTTGAAGACCTTGCACTTCATCACAACTTTCGCGGTGCTATGGCCCAGACATGCGCAGACTATTCGGAATAGAGCAGCCATGGGACCCACGGGACATGTTTATTTCATAGTCAGAGTCATAGTCTGTCATGGTCATAGTCATGGTAATATACGTATGTCAAAATAGTTTTACAAGTAGCTTCAGAGTACTTGTGAGAGGTGTTTGAGAGAGCGACCGACACGGAATTTCATAGAGTCTCGACTTAGAGACTTAGAGACATGTGTTTGCGACCCTGTTCCAAATACGTCCAAAAAACATATTAGAAACAGCGAGCAAAATTCTTCAGAGTTTTTATCTTGAAAGAGTAACGTGTTTGAACTATGGTGCTTTGGTAGCCTTGTGAGCCCCATTCAAACCAACCCAACTGGAATTTATGGTGGAGATTGAAGACCTTCGAACGACCTAAGCTTGCAATTTGCACAACATTTCTTCACCATCTTTATCCAGACATCTCCTTGGCGTATCCAGACAGCCTCGCGGTGATTCGTTGCTCAGGCATCCAAGGAGACGCTGAATGTTCACTCCCCTCCGGGCGTATGGAACAATAGCATCATCTCTCGCTGTATCAAATGGCGAACCTAGATTGGAAGGATGTATTCTGTTGCTGCTAGAGGCTTCGCTTGTTTAAAAAACGACCATCTTCAACATGAAAACGATGTCTTTCAAGCGGGCAGGTGCTGTCTACAAAGTCCTACTGAAATAAAGAACGTCGTTCTGATTCTCAATGCCAACTCTTTGATTAAGCAACGCGATGTACAGGTTTCAGGTCAGTGCAAAGTGCGATCTCTTGTTGAATTTAGACACACAGCATGTCACAAAGTGACATAGCACTCACATAGCCCATATTAATGTTGCAGGATGCCGTGAACATCATGAACTGCCAAGCGTTGGATGACAAGTGGGACGAGGATTTCCTTGCCTCATCACTAAGTCTTCCAGGCCTGCAGGCCACAGGTTCCATTGATTTCCAGTGTGAGTTGCCAGGACGGTGCCACCTTGCGGAAAGTTGCAGAGTCCTTCACTGTGACAGGGTGAAGCGAATGAATGGCCGTTAGAATGGTAGTGATGCTGATGTGAAACGGATATCGTTCAGAGAAAGGCCTGGGCGTGTCACAAGCGCGGGCAAAATATTGCAGCAAAAGTGTGGCAATGGCCAATTATCCAGTGGATTCTTGAATGCTTGTTGGATTTGCTGCGTATCTATCCATTTGGTTTTCGCAATATAATCTTCACCTGGACGTCAACATTGCCGAGTAAACAATTCTCGAGTCTTGCTCGGCATGTGATGCGAGTAAACTGAGTAAACATGTGCAACAAATGCTCTTCCAAATTGATAGAATTGGCGGGTTGACTTCCACGGATTTTTCCACGCTCTGCAATCTTTCACTGCAACTTCTGAAATCCCAACTTGAATCTCATCCAATGAAGTTGCGGGGAAAGCTGCAGACATTTTCTGGGGGTTGGCGTGCCCCCCAAGAACGCCCTCCTTGGTTGTGCAACTGCCTTTAAGAGCAGACATGTTCCCAAATTTCCAAATTTCCCAAAGCTGTTTGGAACAGTTGTTGCATTTTTGCGAATCTGAAATCAAATCACTTTGATTGGCAGCGGGATAGCTGTCCTAGAAGGAATTTCAATGCCCCTGAGATCCTTCAAATGATTCAAAATATTGCTTCATTCTTGGCAGAGCAGAACACTCTTTGTTGCTGGCTGGATAGCCCGGAGATCCAAGCACAAGAACGTCGTACTTGTATGAGGAGACACAGAGAAACTGAAGAAAGGCGTTGGCATGACAGAGATTGACAGAGGACTTCCTCGTTTCACGCACCAAGACCAGTGCAAAAAGGCGAGTTTTGCTGCTATGTCCTGATGTAGGCAACATCTGATTCTTTCGCTTGGCCGTGGCTCAAAATCAGCCCCCTTTAAAACCACAACCTTACAGGTAGTTCCTTTTCTCGTGGCGTCCACTTTGGAGCCGGCCATATCTGTTTTAAAGAAAACATGTCTTGTTGTTGGAGTCAGGGGAGGTATACGAAGCTGAACCGAAACGGTTCAGACAGATCAGGCTGCCATAGTAGTAGGATGAGACTGGTTGAGTAAGCCGATACATGTCCATGAAATTTATGAACCCACATTGTTTGATCGCTCAAAGCATCTCAAGATATCTCAAGTCTTTGGGCATCCAGTAGCTCGCAGCTGCCCACCCCAAAGGCTGCTCTTTGCCCGCTTAAACTGACATAATTTTGGACAACTGGATTCCTCACTGTGGCTTTCATTTTTGCCATTTCCAGCTCTAGATTTAGTAGACAATGGCACGATAGACTGCCACGGCCCTAGCAGTCGATTAGTGGAACTGTCGCATATAGATTTGCATCAAGGCAGTCACTTTCGAGTGAAGCTGCTCGTTCTAAGGCACGGGTCACCCACAACTTAGCTACATGCGACGAGTTGTTGCATTATTGCTGGCGCTGCCCCAGGCCAATCTAGTTCCATGATGTTCCATGTCGCTTGGGATGCTCCAGCCAGTGTGGCCAGTGACAGGGTTCAAAAATGGCAGCTGACCAAAGAAACATTTACAACAAATCGGCCTTTGTGGATGTCCAGTGATGTCCAGGCAAACGCTGCTGTAAGCAAGGATGCCGTCGCCAGCCTCCAGTCATTTCACTCAGCTTCACCAGTGCTTTGGATTTGACAGCATTCTCCGGCTTTTGCAGACGCGATGACACCGCGTCATCCAGCTCGCACACAAATCCTGTTGCACTTTCTGGCTTTAGTTTGGTACTTACGCTGGATAGCAAACTAATTGGAATCGGAATGTCAGCAAAGAAATGATCCTGTTCACTCAATGTTTGCGCACAACTTTCTTTGCAAATACGGAAGACCTATGAAATCTGGCCAGTCGTGGATCCATACAGTCCTGGTTGGGTTTGCAGGTGCCAGGTTTGTGAACAAGCAGTGGAAGAGGCTCGGTACTGTGACCCCCCAGAAAAGCAACAGCACTTCAACAGAACGGATCATCGGTGCTTGAGTGGCCATCCGGGATTGTGCAAAACAGCAAGACTTCCAATTCTTTGGGTGGCAGCTGCACAAGACATCACAAGACATACAGGCTATCATTTACTCCAAAGAGAATAAGATCTCCAGTGAGGCACAAGTCTGTTGGCTGGGGATTCACAGCTGCTCCTTGGAAGGTGGTGTTAGCTGGAGAAGAACGAATTTTACATAATTTTACTCTTGATGGGCTTCTTGAAGGAATTCAATGATTTTCCTGAAGAATCCTGAATAGTTGAATAGACATTCCTGAAGTTGCGGATTGCCGATTCCATATCACCCTCTCTCGAAGTTCAGCCAGGATGACTTGAATGATATGATCGACGGGCTTTGCTCGGTTAAGAAGAAAGAAGGGCTGCTTCCTCAGTTGCAGCCCATGGGATGACCTTAGAAAGATTAGAAAGGGCGATCACAAAGACCTTAGAAAGACCAATATTCATGCTTCACCAACTTCACCATGGCTTTCTAATGCTTTCTACATCTTTTTACTGTGGTAATATTAGAAATACCATGAAATACCTTTGATTCTGTTCCATAATGTTTCGCTTGCAATGTGGGGAAAGCAGATTTGAAGTAAGAAGAGTTCATTTTGATTGTTGACAAACCAACACAGAGGGCTGTGTGCTTTGCAGGCGATGGGTAGCGCACCTGGATATCGTCCAGGAGGCCAGTTCCCTCACTGGTACCACAAATCATAGTCCCGGTATAGCAAAGATAGCTGACAGCTGGAGGAATCAGTCCATGAGGTTTGCTGGTAGGCTTTGATGAAGCATCAATTCTGAGGATGCTGGTGGACCCCTATCTGTTGAGAAGCAGGCTGGCGATATCTGGTGATGCTTGTCTCAATGACTTGGACCTACTTGGACCCAGTCGATAGCTGCAGTCTGCACAGGACGGTTTGGGCTATTGCAGGGGCGAATGCACAATTGTACAGAGGCGGCAGAAAGTTGAGCAGCGAGTTGTTTTGTTTTGCCTCGGACCTTGAACAATTGATTCCTGCATGACCTTATCGCATTGACATGCTGATGGCGCACCATTTTTCGAGTGGATAAACGTGTTGTTTGGAGAGGTTCGTCACAGGACATGGGAACATATTAATTGCACAACGCTACTGTTAAAAGACTCAGATATGTTGCATCAAAAGAGGTTCTTTGAGTCTGCTCAGCATGTGGGGTCATCCATTTCTTTGGTACTGGTGGAGCATCAACACAGCTGCTAAATACCGCCTGCACTTGTTCCCTTTTGAGGGCGTGTCAAAGCTCCTTGCGAGGCTGGGGGCAGAGTGTTTGGGCCTTCTAAGTCAATGTGTCGCGTTTCTGTCTCAAATGCCTTGCCTGTTGACGATGTTTTGCTTGCCTTGGCATGATGCCTTGCTTCGGAATCTTGGTTTGCTCCCAATCTTCGACTTACTAAAGGACCTTTCTGTCCGGGACCTCCAACTCTGTCTCGCTATGTTCATGTCGTTTAGAGCTGCAACTCGTCAATGGCTATGTTGCGGCTAGATGTCTTCGGTGTCAATGGCTGGCTTCTGGTAATCTAATCTGGCAATGGAACATCCCCCACAGAATTAGATGAGTCTCCAAGATTTTCATAGCAATATTTTCCATAGCTGGGTTTGATTATAAGTGGGTAATAAGTGGGTATTTTGTTCGATATTTTGTTCGATATCATATCTTGTCGTGATCCTGAATGCCGAGTTCAAAGTGCATTTCAGTCAAGTCATTCAATGTGTCCTTGCTGGTGGTGCCTTCCACAAAAGGATGCAAAGCAAGTCGCAGCAGTGATTTTTGCTGGTTGTCTTTATCACAGCAGCACAGCTGCTCCTGGTTATTCCTGATTGCTTCAAACTACTCTGTTGATCTCCGTTGCGTTTCTCATTTTCCATGGTGGTTTGGCTGCACCCCCAGGCAAAGAAGAAAGCTTGGCCTCCATGCTACAGCTCCTTGGTTGGACTAACTAGAGGCACAGAGAGGATGAAAGTTGAAAGAAAAAGGGCTCATGAAGATTACAGTACGACAATATGTCAAATATGTCAATACATCTTCTAGGAAACATAGGTCTAGAATCTCTTGGATATGGATTTCGTGCGAAGCAGGGGCAACTATTAGCCATTCTTAGAGGGCCGCTGTTCTGCAAGTTGGGACGTGCCTTCTTCATTGCTACACATCAAAGCACTTGGCTTTCTTTGCTGCGGGAGTAATCTTAGGCAGGACACTGCCAACAAGAAAATGAAAGAGAAGGCATCGCTTCAAGATATGCAAAAAGCATCAAAAAGCATCGCAGGATTCTAAGAATGTAGTGCATTTGCGTTGTAAGATTGATTGGTTGGTCCTTCTCATGGATGACACATATACCATATACTGTTCAAGTGCGTTTCATTGATTTCTGGAACAGTCTTGCTTGAGCCAGTGATTCTGGCAATGTCGCCTGTATGTCTACAATGCCAGTCTCATTCATAGTGATACCAGCTGCATCCAGCTGCAAAGTGCCTGGCTTTTGCGCCTGCGCAGGTCTGTAAAAAGATTTGCGAAAAGAAACGACCGAAGATCGCAGATTGGCTTGGAACTCAGAGCTCCACTGAAGGTACTGCCGTGGGAGAGTCCTCATGGAAACTGCTATCGCAGTCTGAATGCTATTCGTGCTGCCTAGCTTATGATTAGAACTGCTGATGTTCTTTTGTCTTTGAGGAAAGATGAGCCGTTTGAGCCACGTGATCCAAAAGAGGCCTGTAGCGACTATTCAAGAAGCAGAAAAGGGAAAACTGAAGCATCATGTCTGGCAGCAAAGTGCGAATCTGGGCGACCTTTTTTTCATTCAGGACATAGACCACTTTCTTTTTCAGTGTCTCGAGAGCCAACATCCTTGTCACCTCACCACTATATATATAATTGTTAGTTTGCACTCCATGCAACCTTTGCCATAGCATGTTTTGCACCTGCCAGGTCTGTCTTGCACTTTTGCTAAGGTGTTTATACATGTGGCCATACCGGCCCAATTGCCACTTGCCCACTCAGGGTGGGAAACTTTCTGACCGCCAATACATGGCTGCGCTGTCTGCGCTTTGAAAAGGGCGCTGCTTTCGCAACTTGGCTGCGGACTTCGTGTGCCTCAGCTAGAGACTTGGTTTGGACCTCTGCACCAATCTCACATTGGTAGCGGAGCGCTGCCTGATCCTTGGAGCTTTGGTTCTTGGACTTCTAGCTCTACTGGGTCCTGGCTGTGGAGCGCTTCGGAAAGAACTCCTGGTCGAGCTCTACTGTTTGATCAACCCTAAGGGCATAGACCAGCTCACCTTTTTTGGAGTTCACCTTGGACGTTGTGGAGTATGGCTTCGGGATCTGCTAAGCAGGAAACCTCAGCTGATGCTACCACCCGTGACAGTTTCATCCCCTTGTTTTCGGGCCAACCTGCCGACTACAAGGAGTGGCGGAAAAGGATCCACATCTACTACAGGAAGATGGGATTGACGAAAAGGCATGGAGAAGCCGTGCTGAACATCATCGGCAGTCTTCAAGGTTCGGCATGGAGACTTGTGGAAGATTTCAATTTGGATGAATGTGAAAAGGAATCTGCCTTCGAGAGCATCATCAAGCTCTTAGATGGTCACTTTGAGTATGATACCAGAGTGCAGTTGCCCAGCGACTTTGATGGCTACTTTGGACTTCAGAGAAAGCCTGGTCAGACGCTGTTGGCCTATGTCAGCGACCATGCGGAGCTGCACAAGAAACTGGAGAAGCATGGTGTCAGCCTTCCGACGGCAGTGCAAGGATGGCACCTACTTCGAAAAAGTGGCCTCACCAAAGAACAACGGCAACTTGTCAATTTGAGGGCACCGCAACTCGAGCTGACAAAAGTTGTAGAAGCTATGTACCTGATTTTGGGTCAGGACTACAAGCTTGGAGCTGCCCCTGCTGGACATGACCGCCGATGGCACCGTGGGAAAGGTGGTCGAGCCTACTTTGGTGATGAGCTGGACGATGATGGCGACGCTGATGATTGGGATTGGGACTCACAGTCCTACTATGATGCCTACTGGGAATGGGATGACAATGCCAGCTTCGATGAACAAGGCTTCGATGATGACGCCGCCTACTACCAGACTGGTGACTGGGAAGCTGAATCGACCCTTCCTGAGGATGGCACTACGACCTTCGATGTGGCTTCATGGGATGATGCCTATGCAGCCTACCTGGATGCAAGGAAACGGTTCAATGACCTGAAGTTGAGCCGTGGCTACTTGCCTATCGTTGCCCTTCAGGACTCCAACTTGCAGCCTGGCACTTCCTCGCCTTCAAGGAGTTCTGGTGGTGGATCGCCCAAGGGCAAGAAGGGCAAGGGAAAATCGAAAGGTGGCAAGCCCAACATGTACAAGTACGACAAGGCGCCTATGAAACCTGCACAACCACAACAACGAGCCCAAGCTGCCCTGCAATGCCTTCGATGTGGCCAGAAAGGGCATTTTGCCGCAAACTGCCCTGTCAACAACCAGAAGAGCAGCCCCAACAAGAGACCTGCTCCTGCCACTGAGTCGATGGCAAAGCATGCCGAGGGAGCCCTGGTGACCTTCATGGACAAACATGGGCATGAGCGCACCGATGTTGCGATGCTTGACCCTGGTGCCTCAGCTTTCCTTTGTGGATATGGACCCATGGGCAGGTACCTCAAACACCTGCAACAACTTGGCTACCCTGTGGAAACCATTTTGTTTTACCGTTGTGATCGGAAATTTCATTTTGGAGGAGACGCTGAAAGCGTAGCCAAGTGGGTCGCCAGAATGCCAATGTTTGTGAATGGCCTCTACGGTTTTGCCCAGGTTTTCATGGTCCCTGGTGAAACGCCTATGTTGTGTGGCCGGCCAATCATACAACAACTTGGCATAGCTTTGGACTTTTCTTCTGAGAAGATCAGGTATGGTGATGGTCAATGGATGCCTGCGCTGATGGGTCTGCATGGAGAGTATCTGCTACCTCTCTCCATGGACTTTGAGATTTTCCATGCAGCCCTCGAGCCCCACTTTGACTTGCAGTTGGCCTCACCTGGCGAGGTGGACTTGAATCCTCGCACCTTCCTGGAGTTCAACGGTGAAGAGATGATTTTTCAAGCTCATGACCATGGCGATGAATGGATTTTACCTGGCACAGTCAAGTGCCAACGGCATCTTTTTCAAACCATGGATGCCCGCCTGACTGAGGAGCTCAATGACATGCATGGCTACATCACCTCCGAGCTTCATGCTGGTGATCGTGGTCGAGTGATTTGGGAAGTTTATGGTGGTCGCAGCCGCATGGCACAGATCGCCGAGAGCCTTGGAGCCACTGTGAGGGTGTTTTCTCTCGACACTGGTTGGGATTTTGATCAACCTGCTCACCAACGTGCGTTCTTGGCCTTGCAGGAGAAAGAGGTCCCTGACGAGATCTACCTTTCACCAACTTGTGGACCCTGGTCACTGATGCAAGGACTTGCAGCACGAACACCTGAACAACAGCAACAACTACGTGAACTTCGAGAGTGGCATCATCAAGTTCATCTTTGTTTTTGCAAAAAGGTGTACCTCAAGCAGATCAAGCAGGGTGGTCACGCCCATCTGGAACAACCTGCCTACGCTCGATCGTGGCGTACCAGTGCTCTTTCAAATCTTCCTGGACTCTACTGCAGATTTGACCAATGCCAATATGGTTGCACCTGCCAAGACACCGACTTGGTATGGAGGTTGGTTCAAAAGCCAACTGGTCTGCAGACCACAAAGATGGCCGTGTACAAGGAGTTCCAACGGCGATGTGCTGGTGATCATCAACACTGCCGGCTTGAAGGAAGCGGTCCTGATGTTGGACGTCGGACGCGATACCTCGAGCACTACCAGCCCACTTTAGCTTCCACACTGGCTGCCTGCCTGATGATGGATGAGTTGCCAACCATCTCTGACTTTGTTGGAGCCGCTGACGATGAAAAGAAACATGTTGGCCGCATCATCCAGTTGCTCACCAACAGCCGCCAAGAAGCTGTTCGATGCGTTCAACGTTTGCATCGGAACTTGGGACACCCGTCCATGGAGGCTTTGGTGGAAACCCTGGAAAGCCGTGGAGCGAGCGATGTGGTCTTGGAAGTGGCTCGCAACTTTTCATGTGCCTCATGTGAACGGTACAAAAAGCCCGACAGTGTGCCACCAGCTGTGTTGAACGATGTCAAGGAGTTCAACCATGTTTTGCAAGCGGATGTGATGTGGGTGAAGGTCAAAGACCGCAAGTTCCCCATTTTGAGCCTGCTTGATCAGGCCACTCGCTATCAAGCTGCTGGAGTTCTTCATGGAGAACGCTCTGAGCATTTTCTTTCAGTGCTGGAGCGCCATTGGGTGCGACACTTTGGATGCCCCAAGACCTTGCTGACCGATGAAGGCCGTGGTTGGGCCTCTGATGAGTTTCAAGAATGGGTTAGCGCTCACATGGTCGAGCACTTGGTAGCACCTGGAGAAGCCCACACTCGTTTGGCTTTGGTGGAACGCCGCCATGCTGTTCTTCGAAAAGCTGTGGAGATCTACATGGCCGATCTTGGACTTTCAGATCGCGATGGACTTCGACAGGCACTGGCCTACACCATCCCACAGCTGAACAGCTCAACTACGGTTGCTGGCTACTCGCCAAACCAATGGCTTCTTGGATATCAACCTCAACTTGCTGGCGAACTTCTTTCAGATTCACTTGGCCCAGCACACCTTGAAGGAAACCAACCCTTTGAGGAGACCTTGAAGCGTCGAGCTGCCGCTCGAAATGCTATCACTGCTGCCGAGGTGGATCGAAAGCTCAGGCGTGCTCTTCTTCGGAAGTACCAACGCCAGCAAGGGCCTCTGACTCTGGGCCAAAGCTGCTTCTACTGGAGAGACAGCCGTGCCTCTGACCTCAAGAAGATTCGATGGCATGGTCCTGCTCGAGTGGTTATGGTGGAGCATGATGAGCAGGGTCGTCCCAGACTCTATTGGGTTGCACACCGCACCCAGCTCATCCGAGCAGCACCACATCATGTTCGGCCTGACTTCACTGATTTGCAGGTCGCGATCGATGGACTTCAAGCTGCACGACATGACATCGCTGGCCTCAAATCCAGAGGAGTCACCCGATTCCTGGACCTTGGAAGACTGAACCGCCGGAACATCGATGATGTGGATGATGATGAAGAGGGCATGCAAGATGATGCTCCTGACGATGGTGAAGATGGCGATGGTGGAGACCCTCCAGAACCTCCATCAACTCGACGCCGCACTGGCGATCATCCTGGTGTGGACTTGGACTTGCCACCGGGTGATCAACCGGATTTGGACTTTCTGCCGGTTCCTGAGCCCATTGCTGACCCACCTGACTTGGACTTGGACTTGCAGTCAGCTGGGGAACGCAGTGTGAGCTACTCGCCATCAATTGCACCAGACGAAGCTGGTGGACCTCCGATTGGTCCTGAACTTCAAGATGCAGGTGATTCTCCAATCCATGTGGACTCTGATGAACCTGGACTTGAACCACCTCATCCTGAAACACCAGCGGTGCACACCAGAGCACCATCAATGGCAGCTGAACCTGCTGCACCTGAGCCTCTTCCAGTGCAACCACCTGAACCTTCTTCAATGCCACCTGCACCAACATCTACCAACTTGAACCTCTATGAGCCTGCTGGCCCTGAAGAGGAGTTTCGACATCGACGTATCCTGATGGATCGAGCCGAGACCTCAATCTTTGGTCCTATGCGGCAACATCGTCAACGACAATCCCAGCCCTATGACAAGGACAAGGACGATCAGAAAGATCGAGATCGAGATGTCCGTGAACACTACATGCAGTCCTTTGACATCCTTGACGTGGATCCCTCACAGATCCCTGATGGCTGGAAGATTGATGATGATGGCTACTTCAGCTTGACGAATGACCCCATGGACTATTGGGAAGTCAAAGCTGGCTGTGTCATCCGACACCACGTACGGCCACGCCGCTGCCTCTTCAAGATCAAGGAGATCTCTGATGTGCCGATCCCTTCTGACCTTTTGGATGCCAACCGCACTACGGTTGCAAAAGCTGCTGATGGAAAACTGCGGGTCATCAACGACCTTGGTGCTGAGCAGCGGTTCTTGGACTTTGAATGGACCGGCTGCACCATCTTCCAGATCTCTGGCAAAGCTCGCCGTGAAATGGGTATTTTTGCCAGCTTGCCTTCCAAACGTTTGGGCAAGGACACAAAGATCAAGATGGCCAAACAGCACAAGAAGGTTGCCAACAGTTCCATCAACGAAAGACTGCTCTCTCCTGATGATCGTGCAAAGTTTCAGGAGGCGAAAAGCAAAGAGCTTCAGTCGTTTTTCGAGAACCAGGTTTGGGAGTTTGACACAGTGGAAAACGCTCAGCCAGAGCGAACTCTGACAGCACGTGTCTTGACCAAATGGTCAAAGAACCCTGACGGGAGTCCAAGAGCAAAAGCCAGGTTGATAGTCCGTGGCTACTTGGATGTGGATGCCTTGGACAAAGGATTGCAAACCAGCAGTCCAACAACTTCCAGAACCTCTCGAAACTTCCTGATGAGCCTGACGGCACTGCTAGGCTGGTCTGCCTGGACAGCCGATGTGGCAACTGCTTTTCTTCAAGGACTTCCACAAGAACGAAAGTTGTGGGTGAAATTGCCACCTGAGTGCCTGAGACTTTTGGGAGCTCCAGACACATGCCGAATGCTGCTGTTGAAACCGGTGTATGGCCAGTTGGATGCACCGAGAAGATGGTATCAAGAAGCCACCAGAAGGCTGAAGGATCTTGGTCTACGACCACACTACCTGGATCCCTGCTGCTTCTTGGCCTATGAGGCCGACTTCAACGATGGTGCCTCAACAACTGGAACCCTTGGTGACAGCCGACTATGCGGCATGGTGTGTTTGCATGTTGACGACCTTTTGGGGTCGGGATGCTCAACTTCGCCTACCTGGCAAAGAATCATCAAAGAGCTGCAGTCTGTGTTTAACTTTCGTGAATGGAAAGATGGTGACGTCCTGCAATACTGTGGCTGCTCCATCGAGAAACTGCCTGATGGAGATGGTTTGAAGCTTTTTCAGCAGACCTATGTGGAGAAGATTCATCCAATGACCATTCCTCGGTCTCATGGACCTGACGTGGAGCTGACTTCAAAGGAGATCACTGCGCTCCGTGGACTTTGTGGAGCACTACAGTGGCCTAGCGTGCAGAGTTCACCGCACCTCCAGGCCTCAGTTTCCCTAGCTGCTGGACAGGTGAACAATGCCAAAGTTAGCACTGTCCAAGACCTCAATCGAACCTTGAAGTTTGCAAAACAAAATGGTGATGTCGGTTTGGTTTACAAAAGCCTGGGTCCTGTGGAACAGCTTCGACTTGTCACCTTGTTTGACGCTTCGTTTTCGACGAGGCCCGACGGGTCCTCTCAAGGTGGCTACATGATCCTCCTGGTGCCAGAGCACACTTTGGTCAACCAGGAAGACGACTTCCACATGCTGGAGTGGCGATCGATGAAATTGCCCCGTGTTGCTCGGAGCTCACTGGCCGCCGAAACACAGGCCGCTGCCCAAGCAACAGATGCCACTGATGCTGTTTGCAAGTTTTGGGACCACCTCCTATGTCCCAACCTACAACTGGCTGAACTGCTGAGAAGGCCAACTACCTTGAAACCAGTCATGATCACAGATGCAAAAGCTTTGTATGACAGTTTTCACCGAGAGACTGTTACGGCGAATGTGACGGATCGCCGCACTGCTTTGGAGATCCGTGTGATCAAGGAGCTTCTTCAAGACCTTGGAGGAGAACTGAGATGGGTTTCTTCGGAACGCCAATGGGCGGATGGCCTCACCAAAACGAGCAGCCGCCAGCTGCTTGCCAACAGACTTCGACATGGGAAGATTGGATTTTACTGGGATCCTCAATACGTTGCTGCCAAAAGAAAGCCTGCACAAGAGCGACAAGCCAACATGGACCAACATGCTGCGCCGCCACCTCAACGACTTCGAGTCATCAATGAGGATGTGATGGATGAAGAACTTGGAGATGAAACTGAAACGCAAGATGCTGAAAGCCCTGCGAATGCTGCTGTCGCCTCTGGTGTCTACATGGTGTACACCGACGAGGTGATTGAATATATCAACACAGTCCTGCCACAGTCCGAGGGAATCAATGTGTATGAGGGAGCGATCTTCGAAAAGATGCGCTACTACCTTGGTTTCACAAGTGCCGCTGGCATTTTGTCAGCCCTGCCCAATGTTGAGCCTGGCATTTTGTTTTTCATGGTTTTGCTTGTGATGTTTTTGGTGGTGATTTTGGCCGCCTACGTCAAACTCAAGCTCAAGAAGGCCTTTGATGATGGATATCTGGCCGCCATGACCGATGCGCGGGGTGCGATTGCACAGAGCCGAGCCCTGCCAATACTTTTTGCAAGGATGGACTATGAGCAACAGCATATAGCCCAAGAGTACAGAAACTTTGCCCGAAACCGGGACTTTCTGGAAAAGCGATCAGCGTGATGCTGGAGTGGACATCATGCGAAGGGCTTTGATCGAATCCTTCGATCATGCTGATGTTTGTCCGTTGAGTGACTTGATTTGGGTCACCAACGACAATATCTGGCATGCGCAACCGCAATGCCGGAACCTGCCCAGTGGTCGCCTGAACGAAGCCAATGGAGTGAGAAGATTTCAACCGTGCCCGACCTGTTCGACTGGTGAGATCACTCCGTATGCGCTGGATGGCCGTGGTGTGTCTCTTTTAAGAGAATTAGAGACATGGATCACTGAGCAAGGTGCAACTGCATGGCCTGTAGCAATGCATGGTTGAGTGCTGTACAGATAGCTCTCTCCCCGTGTTAGTTTGCACTCCATGCAACCTTTGCCATAGCATGTTTTGCACCTGCCAGGTCTGTCTTGCACTTTTGCTAAGGTGTTTATACATGTGGCCATACCGGCCCAATTGCCACTTGCCCACTCAGGGTGGGAAACTTTCTGACCGCCAATACATGGCTGCGCTGTCTGCGCTTTGAAAAGGGCGCTGCTTTCGCAACTTGGCTGCGGACTTCGTGTGCCTCAGCTAGAGACTTGGTTTGGACCTCTGCACCAATCTCACAATAATTATAAATATATATATATAAACGACAATTATTGAAATCTTTGTGTCAAGCCATTCGCCAAGATGCTTGCAGCTGAGATGAAATGGATCTTAGCAATGTATTTGTTCAGGACATGTTTATTCAAAAACGAACAGGTAGAGACTCAAGATATGATGGCGAAGATGAAAGCGGAGACTGGCATGAGCATGAAGATGTACAGCCGTGAGGCCACTCGGAAGATCTCAGGAGTATTTATACGCTCCATATATTATGCACAATAATGGTTAATGAATATTAATGGCTAATAGATGTTAATGATGATGGTTACTAATTAAGATCTATTATGCAGTCAAGATAGATTTGAAGATAAAACTGATTGTGTGAGGTATCAGAGGTCAACCTCGTGGTATTGGACAACAAAACGAGACATGCCAATATTGCAATATATTGCAATGGGAAGATATGGTGCAGGAACTCGAGAGGATGACGGACGGTGATATGGAGACTATGGCCGCAAGAGAGGCTGGACATCCAAACCTTGTGGTTGGAATTGGTTGGACATTTTTTGGGAAGTTTTGAATCGGTTGGAATACGTCATCATTCCCGAAGGGACAAGTGCATCTACGTTAACTCTCGCATGTCAACTCCGGTACTGTATGTTAACTTGTCAAGTGTCTGAGCAGTGACTCCGCATGAGCTGCTTGTCTTGCCTTTTCTTGAGATTAACTTGTTCAATGAACATCAAACAAAGCTCACATGAATCCTGACACTTGCAGTACACAATGGTCGGCATGTCGCTTGTGCTTCGGGTTTTTCGTCGCTTATGCCTCCTGTTCTAGGTCTCTTGTGCCACAGAGTTGTGGCTGCTAATGACTGCTAAGTAGCTTCTCGTTTGTTGTGAGTTTCTAAGCGTTCATAATCGGATGTTCATATATAATAGGTTTGCAACATGTCGTTGAAAGAGCCTAAACAAGTCTACGCACACGTACATGGTTATACTTTGGCACTGTGCTTTGTGGAGCCAGGATAGCTGAGAGGTTGGAGGTCATGGTTCATGATTGGACTTCAGTACACTATTGTGATAAGGGTATCGTTGTGTGCATTGCAGGCCTTCGCCTCTGAAAGACAAATGGCTCGCATGCAGGAGATTGCTGATAAGAAAGAGAGGGGAGAATTCTAGTGATGCGCTGACTGCTCAAGTGAAATACTATTCTTAGTATTTGTATCATTTTGTATCTATTTGTTTATGACATTCTTGGTGCTTTTCAAGTGGTTTAAATGAAATCGCTTTTGTCAGCCTTCGAATTTTAGGTTTTGTGCATATCGGAAATGGAAATGGGCATACCTCGAGCTAGAGATGCTGCTTTTTGCGCGCCTCAGCTATGGGTTGGCCCTTTTTGCACCATTTCCTGACGACCCAATGCAGATGTGGACCGTGCAGAAGGTATGAATTGCGTACCTCAAAGACCTGTAGAAGCAGAACAAAAATATCAAGTGTCGAATGCAAGCCCATTCTGACTAAGTTGGACGAATACCGAAAGATGTTGCTTCCCATTTCCACACGCAACGGATGGATTTCCACATGCGGGGAGAATCACGGAGAATCTAAGGGACCAAACTTGCTGGATGCCACCCGTTGCCACCCGTTGCCACCCGTTGCCACCCGTTGCCACCCGTTGCCACCCGTTGCCACCCGTTGCATCCGCATCCCGTTGCCCGCGACATCTTGGCTCGGTGATCTCAGTGTCTCGGCCTTTCCCAATCGGGATTGGCCACGGCCAGGGCGAAAGCCTTACGCGAACGTTGGGATGTGGTGGCATTCACTTTCTGGGCGGAATAACATGGAATGATGAATAATGCAGTACTGAAGTGTACTGCATATTCTTTGTGTATCCATACTCCATACTGTACTATACTGTACTAATATGTGCAAAGTAGCACTGGTTATGAAAACGAAATAAAGCTTGCAGTTCAGTTGTGTTTGGATTTGTCCCTGCATGGTAGCCATAATGTGATTTTAAGTTGAACCGAATGCAGCAGTCGGTTGGTTGAGCTGTGCTGGGCCTGGTAAGGCCTGCTGCTGCGGCCATGGCCTACCATGAGTGCTTTGGCGGGAGGGAGGGTCAAAGATTGAGCCAAAGATTGACAAACATTCTGATCTGCAGCTTTGAAACTGCTTGAAGCCATCAACACACAAAATGTTACTTGAAGCTATTTTGAAAAGTATCGGTAGTATAGACACAATTATCTAAGAGGCCATGATAGCTCATGCACTTGGACAGACTTGAACATACTTGGATGGGGTTCAGTCAGCTGAAGCGAAGAGGATTCGATTGAGGTCAGAATCCCGGTCAGAAAACACAGAACTGAACCTTTCCCCGATGAGGTCAGAAATGACACAAGACATTCGGGAGAACGGCCTCCCGATCGATTCTTGCCTTGATTTCAGACAGCACGCACATTTTATTTTTTCGCATTGTAAAAAGTTGGAAACTTCGCAACTATCCATGACGTGGCTCAACCTTCCCAATATGTGGCCTGTGCATCGTTAATCAGCAGATAATTATATACGTACTATAATTTGAAATCATGCGCTGGGATGTTAGCCCCTGTACTGTGAGTCTGTAACTTGAGGAGTTCGGAGATCCCTTCTCTTTATTTATGCTTTCCTTGCGGTCCTGTCAGGTTTCAAAAGGCTTGGACAAGTTTTTGGCTTGTGCTGACTCCAAAGAAAATAATGGAAATATCCTAAGCTGATTTAAGCTGTCTTGTACGTTTGTGCTTCAGTAGGATGTGCGATCATTGAACTTGGTGCCTTTGTCAAAATGAAGATGATATGCGGATGACAAGATCTTCAAAGATATATGGATGAGTCCGGAAGATCCAATCTTTGATGACTTTGATGACGATCCAAGGACTTTTTCTTCCGCACCTCAGCTTGCAAGCCAGACACCACCTCCAGAGCGGGAACGGGCAGGATGCAAAAAGGTGTCACAAAAGGTGTCACAAAAGGTGTCACAAAAGGTGTCACAAAAGGTGTCACAAAAGGTGTCACAAAAGGTGTCACAAAAGGTGTCACAATAGAGACATGAATAGATCATATTGTATATATTTAGTATATATCATATTTTACTATCATATATACATAGAGAAGGTGAAGAATCAGGCAATATCGCGCCTGGACTGCGACTGCTCAAGTCTCCCTAGAGCATGCTGAGGTTGCAATTACTGCATTGCACTCATTGGACAGGACAGACGCCCAACAAGCCTTTGAGCGTGAATGTATTGTCCTTTCATGTTCTTTCCAATATTTCTTCTTGGAACTTGGAGTGTCAAAGGAATGCTGTTTCAAAAGACCTGCAGTCAGATACTTATTTTTGAAGGCAACCGCCCAATGAATGCATAGTTGCACTGCTTGATGATGAGATTGCAGGAGCATTTTTTTGGTACAAGTGGTTGATGCGAGACAGTTGCAACATTCATGCGCCAGGACAAACCTGTGTTTATGGGCCATGACAGAAGTGGCGACCTCAAACCGATATCAGCACAATGATTTCGACACTGATTGAGTTGTGACTGCGGCAAAGGTTATTGTAGCGCGTCCTGTCGCCGACGCGGGCGCTCCTTGCTGTACACAAATTTGCGATCAATGCAGCGCAAGTCTCAGCACTGCAGGGAAAGACTGGGAAAGCATAGAGACGTAGTGCTGATGTTTGCAAGTAATGGCATATGTCTGCCAAAGTTGACAAAGTTGCCAATCCGTTGACAGTTTGTTGACCAGTTTTTGTTCCAGTTTTTGACGTTCTGTGCCATCTCATGACTGAATCGAAGGTTGGACGGGCTCATGGAGACCAAGAAGCCAAGTTCCGAAAGCGGCACTAGCGCTCTTAGCACCGCTGGGGCAGCCAAGACTAAGAAGACCGCAGTCCAATGAGCCAATGACATATGTATATCTATACATACAATATATATATAATAACATGATATGATATAATATAATATAACATGATATGATATAATATAATATAATATAATATGATATAATATAATATAAGATAACATATAATATAATATAAGATAATATGTAATGTAATATAATATAATATAATATAATACAATATGATATAATATAATACAATACAATACAATATAATATAAGATAATATAAGATAATATAATATAATATTATAATATAATATAATATAATATATTATAGTATAGTATAATATAATACAATACAATACAATATAATATAATATAATATAATATACTGTAATACAATATAATATAATAAAATACCATATATAAGTATATAAATATATATATGAATATGCGCAACGCCTGGGCTTTGCCCAGGCGTTGCAGCGTAGAGGGTCCCCATTCCCAATCAAATGAGATTGCAATTCTGCATTCCATTAGGGTATTTAGGGAATATAAATTTCCCACCCCCGTTAAACTTTACATTCATTGAACATCTTCAATAAGCGTTTAATTCTCCCACCCCCGTTAAACTTCTACATTCATTGAAGATCTTCAATAAGGGTTTACATAATTCTCCCACCCCCGTTAACCTTCTACATTCATTGAAGATCTTCAAAGAGGGTTTAATTGTCCCACCCCCGTTCAACTTCTACATTCATTGAAGACCTTCAATAAGGGTTTACTGTAGTTCTCCCACCCCCGTTAAACTTCTACATTCATTGAAGATCTTCAAAGAGGGTTTAATTGTCCCACCCCCGTTGAACTTCTACATTCATTGAAGATCTTCGATAAGGATTTAATTGTCCCACCCCGGTTAAACTTCTACATTCATTGAAGATCTTCGATGAGGGTTTAATTCTCCCACCCCCGTTAAACTTCTACATTCATTGAAGATCTTCGATGAGGGTTTAATTCTCCCACCCCCGTTAAACTTCTACATTCATTGAAGATCTTCGATGAGGGTTTAATTCCCCCACCCCCGTTAAACTTCTACATTCATTGAAGATCTTCGATGAGGGTTTAATTCTCCCACCCCCGTTAAACTTCTACATTCATTGAAGATCTTCGATGAGGGTTTAATTCTCCCACCCCCGTTGAACTTCTACATTCATTGAAGACCTTCAATAAGGGTTTGATGATGATGATGATGAGGATGACGATGACGATGATGATGATGATGATGATGATGATGACAATGCGTTGCCTGTCGTGGTTGCGGTTCCGGGCAAAGCCCAGGCTTTTGCTGTATAAATACATATCATGAGCCCACATGAACCCTTTGGATCTAGAGATGTGGGGGGAGGGGCACAAAGATCCAGCATGATCCAATGATCCAGCAGTTCCCAGGTATGATAATTGGTAAGTGAAACCCATCAAAAGATTCAAAATTCAACTCGCTAACTTGGTTGACCTTGCACCTTAATGATCATATCCATCTCCTTTGCCACACTTCAAAGGGCTGCCAAGTTTCTTTGCGTTCCACCACTCAATTCGACCTGTGAAATATAGCTACTCCAACACGGCGTGGCTGCGCAGTCAGGCTTGGTCAGAGTCCTCCATATCTTCGCGCCCAAAGTCGGACAGGTGCAGCCATCAAAATCCAGACTCAGAACGTAGTGAAGCTCAAGAATCAGAGATGCTGATGGTGTTGAAGTCTGACTTGACAGACTCGATGACCTTGATGTTTGGACATGTTTGGACTATTGTGACTATTGCCATTTGTTGTGTTCTCTTGTAGTGGATCGTCATAGTTGTTTGTAACTTGTCTTCGATTGCTCAATTGGAGCGACTTGGGCGACTTGGATCCGGGCTGATGGCTGATGGAATGTGCCATTATCCATTTGTGCCATCCATCGCTATCCGATGTTTGCATTCTGGCGCAGGCCGAGCGGCCCTCTCGGGTGGGTCATAAGCAAGGCTGGTGGTTGGTGCAAGAACAGTGCTGTTTGCGAGAGTTGCTGTCTGCCAACACAGCCCGCCGCCCTTGCTTTCAATCTTTTTGGCGTCACACCCCACGAGTTTCGCTGTGAAAATCCCATGAATATGGCAACTTGCAACACATATTGGTACTCGTACAGATCATGCAACGCCAGAGAAACCACGTCCAGTAGAAAGCCTCTGGCTGCAAGGTCTTTAATGTCATTTCAAACCGCCTACCAGAGTCTTTAAATGTGTGAGGGCTCAGATGACATGCTATTTGCTGCCCAACATTTGAAGCTGTTTAACGTGTAGTTTAACCATGTCGAACCTGTACCTGTAAAAAAACTAAGAAAAGACAATAAGGTCACTGGTCTCCGAATGTCTGCGATATGTCTCCGGGGTATTGGTTGTGTCCTGGAAGGCTAACCACTAGATTTCATGTAGCATCAAGTAGCAGTGGTGCAAAGTGTCATACGTAGCGAGGATGTCATTGGAACACGTGAGAGGCACGTTCTACGCACATTCCCAATATTTCCCAAGTGTGTTTTGCAAGCACCCTCAAATAATTTGACGCAGAGGGCCCACAGAATAGGCCAGGTCACAATCAAGATCAATCAAGACTCAATGCCGGAAAAAAAAGGCTTTAACAAACATGCCTGCGCTCTAGTCCAAGGTCTTGCAAAAGTCTTCGCTGGAGTGGAGCTCAGAAAAATTTCTAGGAAGTCAAGCTCGTCGAGCTCCAGCAATCTACGATTGGTGTCCTAACGTATTTGTTTGGCGCATCTTGTTTTCTTACAGTTTTCATATGTTTCTGGATCTACGTGATTATCACAAGTAACAAGTAGAAAAGGAGTTCTTGAAAAAGGAATTCTTGATCCTGTACGCGATTTTCATGATTTCCGCGAGCTGTTTGAATCAGGTTCAATCAGCATCCTCAGCCTTGCTTCAAAGACTCGGTCACGGCATCCCTAGCCGAGATTGGAAGATTGGTAATCGTAGCTGCGTAGGGTAAATCCAACGGGGATATCATGGGGATATCATGGGGATATCATGGGAATAGAGAGTGATATTTGAATATATTCGATATCACTTTTTCGCATACACTGAATGTAACTTTTTCTATTCTGCACCATCTGCAGATATCTAGAGCTGACAGAAATGCATCGCCAAATTGATGTGCATGTTTGTGTTGCTGCCGTTCAGCCCTTGCACAACCGAAGTCCAGTGTTGTCAGCTGCCAAAGCAACTCGCAATGTCGGGGATGTCGGGGATGTCGGGCATCGACGCTCTGTTGGAAGGCTGCATATTCTTATAAGTTGACTGACAACTGACAAAGCGAAGGCAGCTGCTAAAATAATCTAAAATATGGCTCATATGCTCACAGGCTAAAATTAGATACGGACGGAGTTCGTCAAAAGTTGCAGCAGCCCGGACAGAGACGAGCATTTCAGGGTCAAACAAGGAGAACCTCTCAGCAACGCGAGAGGCTGCACGGCGAATTCCGCCTCACAGGAAGCAGAAGTGCTGCTCCCTTTGATCGATGAGGAGGATGGACCAGATGGAGATGGGGCATGATTCAAACTAACAACTGCAGATACGAATGGCACCAGGTCCATTCTTTGGTTGTGCAAATCGGAAAGATGGGAACTGAGTAGGAGCCTTCACCAGACTCGTTTCATCAGTTCAGCCAAGCAGCTCTACAGGCTCAAGTGTCAGTGAATGGAATCAAGCGACTGGCTCGCATTGCTATCTTTCATTATCTATTGCCTTATTATTCAGAAAAATGCGCTGACATTAAAATGCCCACCAGTGCTGAATTGAGAGCAACCTTGATACTTTGCAAGAATGTGTGGCAATGTGCGGTATATCCAGCCAGTATCCAAAACAAAAGGGGAAAAACAGATACCACTTGAAATGCTCTTGCTGAACAGAAGCAAACGGATTCATTCATAATTCACCTATCCATATGGAAGAAAGGGTGGTTCTTCCTGTTTTCATAGTCTCAGAATTGGCTTCTCAGCCTAAGAGATCGAACCTCCAAAAGGCATCAAAGATTGTCGTCTATAGATACAGAAGCGGATGATGCTGCTAGTTTGCTAGGTACATGTATAGATATAGAATATTATAGAATGATACAGATATAGACATAGATATACAATAGCTGATCGTTGATGATTGTGCACCCTCAATCGTTGGAGAAAATTTTCGATGTTGACACTTGTCTAACGAGTCGGCAGCAGGAGAAAATGCAAGCGCGACCGCGCGGCTGCAGTGACACAAGCACAAGGTGCGAGACAAGCATTAATGTGAAGCAGTTGACTGAGAAACAGTACATTGGCCTACTTTGTATGGAAAGTGTTGCTGTTCAATGCTATGAAAGTGAACCAGCTTCAGCGTTCATTTTCGCGCCGATCCCCTTAAGCATGCAGCATCACTCAGACTGTATCTCGATCAGGGCAGCCAGCATTGCGTCGCTTAGCTGAGCGGTCAAAGTTTGACCCCCTACGTGTGAGACATCAATGCTGTAGTAGGGCCTTGGTAGCGTAAGTAGTAGGACCTTCCTGTGAAATGTTTGAGAGGACGGACAATGGACAGCTCTGTCTAAGTAATTGCAGGCATCAGGATTGCTGGGATTTGCTGTTTCTAGAGATTTCTAGAGATTTCTAGAGTCTAGATGGCAACATATGGCAACATATGGCAACTAATGGTAAGACACCAAAGCACTGTGCAATGGGAGTCACAGACGAGGTCAAGTCAGGACTCTGAGCCAAAGAGGCGCCGAATCAGGCCAGGAGGGATGGCCCAAGCTGCCCGAATGGCTCGTGCCGAAGTCCAAGGTGTTGTAAGAGCAGTGTTTTTCATGGGCTTTCTATTGCTTCGAAAGTAACGTCAAGATTCTGTCAGCTTCAGGTAATTCCAGCCCAGGGAGTAGGCCACAGTAGGCCGAATGGTACTTATTTTGAAACACATATCCAATTATAGACCATACATGTATCACCCAGTGCCCAGTATCATACATAGTATCATAGTATCTATTTGATTCTATTTGTTTGGTCAAGTATAGTGAAGTATTGAGTGGCGTTTTTAGTCGACTCTTTGTTTATCCACGTTTAGATAAGCTGCAAAGACGTGTGAGTTGTAGTTGTTTTTGTAGTTGTCGTTGTCGTTGTCGTTGTAGCTGTAGTTGTAGTTGTGGTAGTAGTAGCAGGAGTAGTAGTAGTAGTAGCAGTAGTAGTAGTAGTTGTTGTTGTTGTAGTTGTAGTTGTAGTTGCAGTTGCAGTAGTAGTAGTAGTAGTAGTAGTTGTTGTTGTTGTTGTTGTTGTTGAAGTAGTAGCAGTAGTAGTAGTAGTAGCAGCAGTTGTAGCAGTAGTATTATCAGTATTAGTAGAAGTAGTAGTAGTAGTAGTAGTAGTAGTTGTTGTTGTTGGAGTGGTAGTAGTAGCTGTTGTTGTGGTAGTTGTAGTAGTAGCAGTAGTAGTAGTAGTAGTAGAAGTAGTTGTAGTAGTAGCAGTAGTTGTAGTAGTAGTAGTAGTAGTAGTAGTAGTTGTAGTAGTAGTAGTAGTAGTAGCAGTAGTAGTAGTAGTAGTTGTGGTAGTATTAGTAGTAGTTGTTGTTGTAGTAGTAGTTGTTTTTGTAGTTGTAGTAGTAGTAGCAGTAGTAGTAGTTGTTGTAGTAGTAGTGGTAGTAGTAGTTGTAGTGGTAGTAGTTGTTTTGTTGTAGCTGTAGTTGTAGTTGTTGTTGTAGTTGTTGTAGTAGTAGTAGTAGTAGCAGTAGCAGTAGTAGTAGTAGCAGTAGTAGTAGTAATAGTAGTAGTAGTAGTAGCAGTAGCAGTAGCAGTAGGAGTAGTAGTAGCAGTAGTAGTAGGAGTAGTAATAGTAGTAGAAGTAGGAGGAGTAGGAGTAGTAGGAGTAGTAGTGGTAGTAGCAGGAGTAGTAGTAGTAGTAGTAGTGGTAGTAGTGGTAGTAGTAGTAGTAGTAGTTGTAGTTGTAGTAGTAGTAGTAGTAGCAGGAGTAGTAGTAGTAGTAGTAGTAGTAGCAGTAGTAGTAGTAGTAGCAGGATTAGTAGTAGTAGTAGTAGTAGTAGTTGTAGTAGTAGTAGTAGTAGTTGTTGTTGTTGTCCGAGTAGCGGCTTGCAGGCCAGGCGGTTTAGCCTACGAATACGACGAAGCCGATGCGTCGCTTGGAGACCAGAGCGACCGCAGAGAGATTGTCTTTGTATCACTGGGAGCCGGAGAAATCAGATAAATCAGACCATGTCAGACATTCATCACATGATGCCAAGGTGTTGCCTGCAATGATTCATGCAACTTGTCCGCTCTCATGTGTCCTTTTCAACTTTAGCACAGGGAAAGAAGGACAGTCTCTAGAGTTGACCTGAGCCCCAGGGCGAATGTATGAAAATGATGCCGTCTACTACCACGGCGTAATTCAACAAGCTTTTCCTTCAAGTATTCTTAACATTTCATCATTAATCTTTGAATCACCCTGCACACTTATTTACCAGCAGTTGTGCAGTAATAGTCAGCAGGGGGAGAGATTTCTGCAGGTTGTCTCCTTTTGCGACAGATTGCAACAGTTCCCCCATGGTTTTGCTGTCCCAATTCGAGGTTATTGTCCACCAAGAGCAGCTGCCAAGCACAGACATTTTTGTTGTGTCAAGGCAAGACCAAAGAGATGTCTTTTGACCGAGAAACCGTTTCAGCGGCCCATTCTACTGTTATGTATGATTGGGCGGTATACTGTCTCATGTAGTTGTGTGCATGCTTTTACTATCTTTTGCTTCTGCTTGCGGAAAGACATCTCTCGTAGGGTCAATGTGTCTTCGGAGCCAGGGGATTGTAATTGCCATTTGAAACTCCTGGAATGTTGGTGCCACGCTGCATTTCAACAGCGGGCGCCCAGAGTTGTTGAGCCAATCGGTGGAACAGACTGGAATAGCCCAGATTTCATGACATGGATTGCTTGATTGATTGATTGATTGATTGATTGATACATGCAATACACGGATATGTATGAATATGTTCCGATATACTTGGATGCGTTTTGTTCCTTGCCGGAATAGGGACTCGCAGTAGTGATCACAGATCAAAGCACCACCGACAGAGTCCACGGAATTTGCAGGGACTTGGACCGCAGCTTAACTGCATCCTATGTGCCTGTGGCTGATCTTAGCCCTAGCATAGACGATTCTCCACTGCTGCTGTCAACTGTTTAAAGATGCACAGCTAGGCAGGTTCGCGGTGACAGTAAGGTGCAAAGCAGTGCAACCAGAGCAGCGAGGATATTGCTGCAGATGACTGTATGACTGTCTCTTTAGATGAGTCACAAGAAAGATCACTTGGACTCATTCTTCAGACGGGGTTTGCACTTTGCTTCAAATATCTCTCTGCGTCTCTTTGGCTCCTGAGCGTCCTTGTACAGTCGCTCATATCAGGACTCAGGACAATGTCTCGATCCAAGACCATGACCTCAGAGCAAGTTTCCCACAATGAGGGCCTTGCTTTGAGAAGGTGCCTGGAGCGGAAAAAGATATCAGATCTCTGGACAATCGCAAGTTTTGCTCTGCTTCTGCTGCGTCCCTGTCACACCGCAGGACGTGTGAATTCCTGTGAAATCTGTTTTTTTTAGCCGTCTTAGCCATTTCAATCTTGTGTGAGATCAGCAAGGCAGCAAGGCTATATAAAGATTTATAAAGATTTGAAAGGAAGGGGTACTGACAGGCTGATGGTACTGAGTACTGCTCAGCATTGCTCAGCGCAGCTGAATGCCTTTTTGAGCTGCCAGGATCCTCATTTCAGCGTCTTCTAGGATATCTGCCACAGGCGCGGCATCAGCCTTCTACTCATGAGCACAGCTGAAAACAAGCAAAGCAGCAAATCTGCCTAAGCTTCATGGATGTTAAGATTGCTTGCATTGGCCGATTTGTTCAATTTGTTCTTCACGGCTTCATCTTACCCCTCTGCACTCATTTCCTCCATCCTGTCCATGGGTCATGGTCACACCATGCTGAGCTCGGGAGGTGGATAGCCTTCAAAGATTGGACGATGAGGAGGACTTGGAGGAAAGTGGGGGCTCCCAGAGATGTGTTTTCGGCACGATCCAAGTGAGCCCACTTGGGAAAGTATTAACATGTATGAACTTATGAACTATGAAGGATGCTGCTTCGAAGCATTTGATTCAATGGGTTGGTTATGGGTTCATCATTGGTTCAACATATCCCAGTTGCACCGCTCAAGGCGACCTGAGTTGGTGGATCTCAAGGCCTGGCCACAGACTGGCGAAGTAAGGGCAATCAACTGGGGTTTCGTAGCAGTGACATATGATGTTTATATTAAAAATAATACATACATACACACACAGAGGCATACATACACAGACATACATACATACAGACAGACATACATACAGACATACATACATACAGAAATACATACAGAAATACATACAGAAATACATACATACATACATACATACATACATACATACATACATACATACATACATACATACATACACACAGACATACATACATACATACATACAGACAGACAGACAGACAGACAGACATAAATACATACAGACGGACATACATACATACAGACATACATACAGACATACATACATACATACAGACATACATACATACAGACATACATACAGACAGACATACATACATACAGACATACATACATACAGACAGACAGACATACAGACAGACATACATACACACACAGGCATACATACACAGACATACATACATACAGACAGACAGACATACACACACACAGGCATACATACACAGACATACATACAGACATACATACATACATACATACAGACAGATATACATACATACATACATACATACAGACAGACAGACAGACAGACATACATACATACAGACAACATACATACAGACATACATACATACAGACAGACATACATACATACAGACATACATATTTAAGGGCTGGCGCCCTGCCGCCGACCCCGGAAAAATCTTTTGATCAACCCATTGAAACTGGGGAAATCCCCATGGCGCCATGCTGCTTCTGCCATGGACGGCGCCGCAGCCTTCACACTAAGCAGGCGCAGCCGACATTATAGAAAATGACGATTTTGGCTGCTTTTTTTCCTCTTGCTGCTGCTATGAATTTTGGCTACCTTTTCCTCCTGCTGCTGCAGAGGCTTTTGCTGCTGCTGCTGGTCCCCGGATGGGAAAACACCATGGCAGTGAAGGGCGGAGAAGCCCCAAAATCGCACCCCGAAAATGGGTAACGTAACTTCTGAAATCCATAGAAAATGATGATTTTGGGTGCTTTTTCCTCTTGCTGCTGCTATGAATTTGGGCTACCTTTTTCTCCTGCTGCTGCAGAGGCTTTTGCTGCTGCTGCTGGTCCCCGGATGGGAAAACACCATGGCAGTGAAGGACGGAGAAGCCCCAAAATTGCACCCCGCAAATGCCTAACGTAACTTCTGAAACCGATAGAAAATGATGATTTTGGGTGCTTTTTCCTCTTGCTGCTGCTATGAATTTTGGCTACCTTTTCCTCGTGCTGCTGCAAAGGCTTTTGCTGCTGCTGCTGGTCCCCGGATAGGAAAACACCATGGCAGTGAAGGACGGAGAAGCCCCAAAATTGCACCCCGAAAATGCCTAACGTAACTTCTGAAACGTAACTTCCGAAACCCAATAGAAAATGATGAGTTTGGCTGCTTTTTCCTATTGCTGCTGCTATGAATTTTGGCTACCTTTTCCTCCTGCTGCTGCAGAGGCTTTTGCTGCTTCTGCTGGTCCCCGGATGGGAAAACACCATGGCAGTGAAGGACGGAGAAGCCCCAAAATTGCACCCCGAAAATGCCTAACGTAACTTCTGAAACCCATAGAAAATGACGATTTTGGCTGCTTTTTCCTCTTGCTGCTGCTATGAATTTTGGCCACCTTCTCTTCCTGCTGCTTTTTCCTCTTGCTGCTGCTATGAATTTTGGCTACCTTTTCCTCCTGCTGCTGCAGAGGCTTTTGCTGCTTCTGCTGGTCCCCGGATGGGAAAACACCATGGCAGTGAAGGACGGAGAAGCCCCAAAATTGCACCCCGAAAATGCCTAACGTAACTTCTGAAACCCATAGAAAATGACGATTTTGGCTGCTTTTTCCTCTTGCTGCTGCTATGAATTTTGGCTACCTTCTCTTCCTGCTGCTGCAAGGAGGCTTTTGCTGCTGCTGCTGGTCCCTGGATAGGAAAACACCATGGCAGTGAAGGACGGAGAAGCCCCAAAATTGCACCCCGAAAATGCCTAACGTAACTTCTGAAACCCAATAGAAAATTAAAATGATGATTTTGGCTGCTTTTTCCTCTTGCTTGCTGCTATGAATTTGGCTACCTTTTCTTCCTGCTTCTGCAGAGGCTTTTGCTGCTGCTGCTGGTCCCTGGATAGGAAAAGTGAAGGACGGAGAAGCCCCAAAATCGCACCCCGAAAATGGGTAACGTAACTTCTGAAATCCATAGAAAATGATGATTTTGGCTGCTTTTTCCTCTTGCTGCTGCTATGAATTTTGGCTACCTTCTCTTCCTGCTGCTGCAGAGGCTTTTGCTGCTGCTGCTGGTCCCTGGATAGGAAAACACCATGGCAGTGAAGGACGGAGAAGCCCCAAAATTGCACCCCGAAAATGCCTAACGTAACTTCTGAAACCCATAGAAAATGATGATTTTGGCTGCTTTTTCCTTTTGCTGCTGCTATGAATTTTGGCTACCTTTCCCTCCTGCTGCTGCAGAGGCTTTTGCTGCTGCTGCTGCTGGTCCCTGGATGGGAAAACACCATGGCAGTGAAGGACGGAGAAGCCCCAAAATCGCACCCCGAAAATGTCTAACGTACCTTCTGAAACGTAACTTCCGAAACCCAATAGAAAATGATGATTTTGGCTGCTTTTTCCTTTTGCTGCTGCTGTGAATTTTGGCACCTTTTCCTCCTGCTGCTGCGAAGGCTTTTGCTGCTGCTGCTGGTCCCCGGATAGGAAAACACCATGGCAGTGAAGGACGGAGAAGCCCCAAAATTGCACCCCGAAAATGCCTAACATAACTTCTAAAACCAATAGAAAATGATGATTTTGGCTGCTTTTTCCTCTTGCTGCTGCTATGAATTTTGGCTACCTCTTCCTCCTGCTGCTGCAGAGGCTTTTGCTGCTGCTGCTGCTGCTGCTTCCCGAATGGGAAAACACCATGGCAGTGAAGGGCGGAGAAGCCCCAAAATTGCACCCCGAAAATGCCTAACGTAACTTCTGAAACCCATAGAAAATGATGATTTTGGGTGCTTTTTCCTCTTGCTGCTGCTATGAATTTTGGCTACCTTTTCCTCCTGCTGCTGCAAGGAGGCTTTTGCTGCTGCTGCTGGTCCCCGGATGGGAAAACACCATGGCAGTGAAGGACGGAGAAGCCCCAAAATTGCACCCCGAAAATGCCTAACGTAACTTCTGAAATCCATAGAAAATGATGATTTTGGGTGCTTTTTCCTCTTGCTGCTGCTATGAATTTTGGCTACCTTTTCCTCCTGCTGCTGCAGGGATGGGAAAACACCATGGCAGTGAAGGACGCAGAA